CCAAAGTTGTTGGAGCATAAGAAGGTTATTGGAGAACATGATGGATGACGCTTGGAGACGGATGTGTCCCATTGGAGAAGTCAAATTCAGGGGGTGGGGGAAAGACCAGGGTCAAGGGGAAAATGTATAACGTGATTTAGTATCAGCTGCACCCAGCCATGCGCCAACATGTCAATTTCTGATAAACCAATTTACTTTTTCTGAGATGTGGCTAGAGACTTTTGATTTGAATAAGGGTGACTCCCAGGGACAACGACGACAATATTTTCAGAAAACGTTTGCCATTGCCTCCTTTCTAGGGCTGAGAGGGAAGGACTGGCCCAGGGCCACCCAACTGGAACCGAGAGCCTGCCAAGTTTCTAATCTGATGCCTTTGACCACTTCACCAAACTGGCTCTCCTTTTTCTAATTTACAGGAAGCCTGAATTGAATAAGACGTAACCCTCAAATCTCTCAATATTCAAATGCCTACGATAACTCCCACTGAATCTCTGTTGTGTAACATTCTCACACGGCCCCTATTTGTGCTCAGGAGTCCTATGAGACCCGCAATCCTGCACTTATTGTTCTGACCTAGGCTTCCCCCCAAAAGCACTAAGCAGATTCTTTGTCCTGGCAAAACCTGTGATGATCAACACAAACGTAACAAAATCCAAAACATAAATAAATGTCCTTTAATGCCTCCAACTTGACCCCACTGTTCAATAATTCTCGGTTGGAGATAAAACTTACTCAAAAGTAGTCTTCCAAAGAAAGCAATACAGTCTGAACTTAATGAGCAGATAGAGGTGAAATAAAAAACCTCCAAACAAACTACAATGATGGAAATTCCACAACGGACTAGGACAAGTAATTACCAACTTCAAGGAGGTAACAAGGCACTGGAAGGACACCAACCAAGATCGTTTAGCCCCAAATAAAACACACTTTGCTTCTGGCAACGCTGTGTTGTAATCGTCTCTCTTATATACTATTCTCCAAGGCTGCAACCAATGAGGGGATCATGGCCGCTTCCTCTCTCGTAAGCCAAGTTGTTTCCTTCTCCGTTCCTCCCTGCGTGTCCTAGGATGAAGAGGGGATGGGCCTGGTTCTTCCTCTGGCTGCCCAGCCGGCCTCTGCCCTTCCCCAGCCTCCTCCACAACCTCTGGAGCCACACCTCCACTCCCTGTTGGCTGTTCCTCCTCTCCCCCAGAGTCTGACTATAACAAGGGCATGACAAAACCCCTTTTACTAAACAAAGGTGAATTTCTTGGTCATGTGGCTGACCTATTTTATGACTTACTCCCATACAGTTCTAACTTGAGAACTACCTATATAATGGGATTGTTTTGCAAACACCCTTTGCTTTTAAAGTCGGGACCTCCGCCACGCAACAGGGGGCCCCTCCAAATGGCAGCTCCACCCACATGGAAGGTCCATGTTTAAAAACACCCCTCTGTATATATAATTCAAAACTTATAAAGAATCTTAAAGAGCACTGATGGCGTTACCTAGTCTGAACAACCCAATGTCTGCAAGAAAACAACCAAGCTCAGAGAACATCAAGGATTCCTCGTTTTCAAATCTGGTCCAGCCTCAAATCTCTACACCAGATTCCATGACATTCTGCTTTGAGCAATCCAGAAGGGACTGTCAAATTTGGCAATTCCATGAGACAGGGATCAAGTTGGCTCAGCCTTCCACCCTCCCGAGGTCGGTAAAATGACCCAGATTGTTGGGAGCAATAGGGTGCTCACATTGCAGCCCTGGTCAAAAGGGCCCAGCAGAGGTTATACTACCTGAGACTTCTCAGAAAACAACAACTGAATGTAAAACTGCTGGTGACCTTCTACCGCTGCACCATAGAGAGTATCTTAACTTACTGCACCTCTGTATGGTTTGCCAATTGCATGGTGGCAGATAGGGCAGCGCTCTAGACCAGGGGTTCCCAACCACCAGGCCGCTGACCGGTACCGGTCCGTGGAACATTTCCTACCAGGCCGCTGGTTTGCTGGGCGCCGCCATCTTGTTTGACAAGAAAGTGCTTCCAGGTGAGCTTTTCCGGTTGGATAGCGGTGTTTGGGTCCTGAAGGAATCCTTGCGCCTTAGTTTCATCGAAGGGGGGTGGGGCTTCAAACGAAACTAAGGCGCAAGGATTCTTTCAGCACCCAAGGAAAGGCAAGCCGAGCGACCATCCCGAAGCGAAGCCCATCGACAAAGGTACAAAGGAGGAGTTGAAGGTGGCGGGGAGAAGTGGGGGACGGCTGGCTGGCCGGTCGCTCGGGTCGCCTTGCCTTGTCATGTGTGCTGATGCCGGTACCGGGCCGCTGATCATTTTGTGATGCCGGTACCCGGCCGTGGCACAAAAAAGGTTTGGGGCCACTGCTCTAGAGGGTTAAGGTCATTGCCCAGAGGATCATGGGTTGTCCTCTCCCCTCTTTGGAAGAGCTTTATAGCTCCTACTGCCTTAAGAAAGCTCAAAACATTCTCAAAGATCCATCTCATCCTGGGAACCCTTTTTTTTGAACTATTACCATCTGGCAGACGGTACAGAAAAATAAAAACAAGGACAAATAAACTGAAAAACAGCTTCTACCTCAGGGCAGTAGTTCTTTTGAATTCTGCTGTACAGTGCAGTGTTGGTGTGGTGTCGGGGGTTCCCGGTTCAATGTGTGAAGGGTGAAGGATGTGTGTTTGTGTTTATTTTCATAGTCATGATGTGCACTGAAGATGGTGTTTGATTTCGTTGTACGAGGTACAATGACAATAAACTAATAGGCTGACTCTAAACCGCTTAGAGAGGGCTGTAAAGCACTGTAAAGTGGTATATAAGTCTAAGTGCTATTTGGCAGATTATTCTTGTTAAAGGAACTGCATTCAAGTTGTTAAGTCACCGACAGGCAAAGATGTACCTTGCAAAATTGGGTCATTCAAACAGTTGTTTGAAATGGCCTGCTGGTGCCCTCTTGGATTCCAAAGATGGTGATTTTGTTGTCTACATACAAAACAATAGCCAGTTTGGTCTAGCGGCAAAGGCTCCAGGCTAGAAAAAAAACATTTTTTTTAAACCTGAAATTAACTTGAAAATTCAAGGGAATCCAAGTGCTTGGGTTGTGGTTCCATCGCAGCCACGAAATCCGGGTGAGTGATCGTGGGCCTGACCCTCTCTTTCAACCCAACCCACCTCACAAAGCTGTTGTTGTAGGGGAAATAGGAGGAGGAAGGAGTATTTTAAGTATAAAATAATAATAATAATAGGGGAGGGATTTTAAAAAAAATAATAAATAAATAAAGCAAGCCTTCCCTGGGATGCTTTTCCTCAGACAAGCAAACAGAAGGAGATTCTATTTGAAGACATTTTCTTGTGCTAGAATTGTACCTGTGTGGCATTGGAAATCTCCTCCCCAGCTTTCGAGAGAATTAATATCTGGGTGTAAAAAAAAGAACGCAGCATTAATCCATCTTTTTTCTCAGATTCAAAGAAGAGTCCGCCTTTTGCGAAGCCTGCATAAGATGGCAATCTTAAATCGGTTTGATTGTTACAACCTTCTGCAGCTATAGTCAGTCATACTGATTCCCACTAAAATAAACTGGCCGTAACATGCTTAATTCCTGGGCTGCATTAGGGTTGACATTTAAATAATAATAATAATAATAATAAATAAAAAAAAGCATGCTGAAAATCTAACACGCTCCTGGCTATTCATGCATCCACACTTATTATTATCCATGATGGGTTTGTAATTTTGGCAGCATTGCTTTAGGGCTTTTCAAACTTGGTAACTTTTCAGACAGAGTGGACTTTCAACTCCCAGATTATCTGGGAAAGCTTGGGCTGCCTGGGGAAATTCTTTGCGTGACTGGGGAATTCTGGGAGTTGGAAGTCAGCCATCTTAAAGCCGACACAGTTGGGAAACCTCCCCACCCCCTTTAGGAAAACCCCAACAATTTAAAAAAAAAAAATCTTTACGGAACTGCGGTCCTGCGTCACGTCCACAAAGTTTAAAGTTTTCTCTGGACTGCCTGTTCCTCAACTGCCATCTTTTTTTGCATATTTCAGTTTCTCATCAGCTGATAAAAGAGCAGCGGTGCGATTCAACCGGTGTAACAACTGATTTGGTGAAAGCGCGTTTTGCGCGCATGCTCTACAGCAGTGTTGGCGAACCTTTTCGGCACCAAGTGCCAAAACGGGAGCGTGCATGTGGGGGAACGCCAGAAACCGGAAGAGCAGCTCCGTGGCGCATGCGTGCGCCGGAAACCGGAAGAACAGTTCCTCGGCACTCAATTTCTTACCTTCTACTGCAGCCCCTGGGACTAAAACAGCGGAGGCGCAGCAAAACCACTCTGTCCCACGAATGAGCTGTGCTTAAAAAAAAAAAACAGGAAATAAAGCACAGGAAAGGGCAGGGTGGGCGGGGCCAAATGCTCACAGGCACTACCGGTTCGCTTGAACCGGTTGAATCCCATCCCTGCAAAAGAGGCCGTCCTTTTATTTACCAACACCAGAGAAGTCCTCCTGCCGCCTCCCTCTCAAACCTGGGTTTGTTAGGAGTCAGAGCAAGTGGAAGAGACCCAACGGTTCTCTCCTGATTCAGCTAAAAAGGATCCCATTTTGAAAAACGGGGAAGGAAAACCACCCTTCCCTTCAAAGACATTGGCTGTCGTTCCTTTCAACAGTTTCCAGTTCAGTTCTTCTCTTTGCTTCCCTGTTGACTGAGAAAACAAGAGCCCCGGGGACCAAACCGCGCGAGCTGAAGCTGCTACCTGAGGAGAATTTTTACCTCAAGCTCTTCGTTTTTTCCTCCCCTTCCCAAGCTTACTCCCTAAACTGAGTCTCTGTGAAGAAAGAAAGAAAGAAAGAAAGAAAGAAAGAAAGAAAGAAAGAAAG